AGTGTTCTCCTAGGGTCTGCTGGGGTAATAATAGTTGTAAAGCGCATAGAGCAAGCTCCTGAGCATGGATATGCGCTATATAAATGCAATTATTATTATTATTATGATGTCTTGTTTGACATAATTGAGGGATTCCCACTTTGTTGTCGTTCACGGTGGCAACACGACCGCAAAGCACTATTGCAGTATTTTTAAAGCCTGCAGCTTACAGTGGCGTGGTGGCGGAGTGGTTAGTGCGCTTGTCTTCAAAGCAGAAAGTCCAGGTTGGAGTCTCGGTTCGGTCACGGATTTTTTTTTTCGCCCCCTCCTGCACACCCACCAGTAATGGATACCTGACTTCGAGTTGGGGAAGTAAAGGAATAATTTTTCACCAAAAAATGTTTTAAAAATATATATAAAATAACTGAAAAAGCATGTGATGTCGTGACTTTGATGGATTAAAAAAAAACATACCAAAAAATTGTTCATTTTTTAGAAACAATTTTTGGGCGTACATCTGTCGTTCTCAAGTTATCCCCATGTGCCCAGGTTCCACGGCATCGACCTGATCTTGGCGGGAAACAAGTGCCGTAACCCTGGAGGTCGTCTGCTCAAGCCCTGGTGCTACACCTACGTCAATGGAGGGGAGTGCTGGGTCCGCTTTTGTGACGTCTGCAATGAACGTACGTCGCCATGTCGTTGTTGGGTGTGTGTGTGTGTGTCTGTCTGTGTGTGCCTGTCTGTCTCTGTGTGTGTGTGTCTGTGTGTATGTGCCTGTCTGTCTGTGTGTGGGTGTGTGGGTGTGAGTGGGTGTCTGTGTGTCTGTCTGAGTGTGAGTGTGTGTGTATGTGTGTGTCTGTGTAAATTAATGTTGTTTTGTCTATCTGGAAGAGAGATGAGGATTGATAGATGTTTGACTGAAAAGAAGGAGCAAATCACACCTGAGCACCCGCCATCCTCCCACTCACCAAACAAACAAACTTACGTCATCGTCTTTTCTTCTCAATCTCTCTCAGCGCCTGGCGTCATTCAAGACTTGTCGGGAGAGGAAGGGGTTCGAAGCCTGCGTCTGGAGTGGCGACCAGCCAAGAACTCGGTCCAGGTCTCCTACCAGCTGACCCTGGTCAGCATCACGGACAGCTCGGTGCGCAACTACTCGGTGCCGGCCGACCCGGGGTCAGGGTCAGAGGTCGTGAGCTACCTGGTAGAGCGTCTGGTCGGAGGCTTCGCCTACAGTGTGGCGGTGCGGGCCGTGTCGCAGTTTGCCGTCGGGGAAGCCAAGTCGGAGATCTACAGGACAAGTGAGTTTGTTTTTTTAATGAATAAGATGAATATTTGGAGTGATTTTCTTTTAGTCAGAACACAACGTTTTTTGTTACTGTTGTTCGTTGTACTGTATTGTAAAGCGCTCAGAGCCTGTGTACTTGAATCGGGGTTGAGCGCTGTATAAATGTCATTTATTATTGTTATTATTTGTCTGCTCTTGGGTTATGTTTAGCAGGCTTTTCTTGGGTTATGTTTAGCAGGCTTTTCTTGGGTTATGTTTAGCAGGTTTTCCATGGGTTTTGTTTAGCAGGGTTTTGTTTAGCAGATTTTTGTTTAGCAGGTTTTCCTTGGGTTTTCTTTAACAGGGTTTTGTTTAGCAGGCTTTCCCTGGGTTTTGTTTAGCAGGCTTTTCTTAGGTTTTTGTTTAGCAGGTTTTCCATGGGTTTTTTTTAAGGTTTTCAATGGGTTTTGTTTAGCAGGTTTTCCATGGGTTTTTTTTAAGGTTTTCAATGGGTTTTGTTTAGCAGGTTTTCCATGGGGTTTTTTTAAGGTTTTCAATGGGTTTTGTTTAGCAGGCTTTCCATGGGTTTTGTTTAGCAGGTTTTTCTTGAGTTCTGTGTAGCATGCTTGCCAACACGCTACTTACCCTCCTAGAATTACAAAGTTCTATTCTGCAAAGTATACCTAGTTTTGAGAAATTTGACGTCCAACCTTTTGAGTTTTACGACATGTCAATCTTTTTCCAATGCAGTTATTTAAATATCTTGCTAACAACTCTGAATAATCTTACAAGTTTGATTGTGAAGATGAAACAGTTAGTTTCTGATCTCAAGGTCCTAGAAACACAAAATGACCAAAAATGTCAGACAGAACTTTGTAATTCTAAGATAGTCAACTGTACCAAATTTCTCGAGATTGTCCTGGATCCGTGGATCAGGACTTTGAGAGGCTCATCACATACACAACAGCAAAAGCAGTCCCACTTACTGTGATTTTGTTTTATTGGGCATAATCTGATGTATCGTTTGATGTCCATGGCTGGGTTTCAAAAATGTTTCTGTCCATGAGGTGTATGTATATTTGTGTGCATGTGCTGTTCATGTGTTGTTCATGTGCTGTTCATGTGCTGTTCATGTGTTGTTCACCTGCTGTTCATGTGTTGTTCACGTGCTATTCATGTGTTGTTCACATGCTGCAATTTTTTTTCCCCTAGTCCCTGAGCCTGTGTCAAATCTTACGAGCCAAGCGGTGAACA